GGATGAGCTCCTCCTTGTCCGCCGGCGCCGCGGCCCCCGACGCCGCGCCCCCGGCGCTCCGGTCCAGCGCGGGCTCCATGGGCGTCGCGGCGCGGACGTTCGGCGGCGTCGCGGCGCTCGGCGGCCGCCCCGCGCGCGCGGCCGACGACCGCTGCAACGCCTCCGCGTACTCGAAGGCGAAGAACGGCCGCCCGACGGACTTGGGCCGCTCGCCCTCGACCTGGGGCAGCGACGACACGCGCACGTAGCGCACGTGCGTGTTGTCGGAGCCGTACTTGGGGCCCGTCGGGTCGCCCCAGCGCACGGGCGCGACGCCCGGGATCGCGTTGCCCTCGTCGTCGACGGGGATGAAGAACCCCTCCGGGTCGCCCGTCGCCGGGTCGATGGCCGCGTCCGGGTCGTCGTAGGGCGGCGGGTCGTCCGGCTGCACGGGCGACGCCGCGGCGCCGTCGGCCTTCGAGGGAGAGCCCGGGATGGGCTCGGGCACGTCGAGCGCCTTCGCGTTCTTCGCCTTCTTCCCCAGGAAGCGGTTCCGGTTGCCCAGCCGCGTGGGCCCGGCCTCGCCCGGCGCGTCGTCGTCGCCATCCTCCGGGGCCTCCTCCTCCGGGACGTCCTCGGCCTTCTTCTTCTTCTTGCCCGCGAACTTCTTCAGCAGGCTCCGCGAGTTCGTCATCTTCTTCCCGATGTCCTTGAAGGACTTGGACCGCTCCTTCTTGACGTCCTCCTCGCTGACCTGGCCGTCGATCTGCTCCGCCACCAAGTGCTCCGCCGCGGGGCCCTCCATGCGGATGAGCGACTTCACCGTCGCCGCGGCCTGGTGCACCTTCGACTTCTTCATCGCGTTCGCCATGTTGATCGTCTCCTCCATGGCCCGCCGGTGCGCGTCCTCCTGCTGGTTCGCGCGGTGGGACCCGAACCCTTCCTTGGGCTGGCCCTTGGACGGGTCGGACGCGTCGCGCTTCCGGACCTCGACCAGTAATTTCTCCGCCTTTTTGAGGAACAGGTTCAGCTCCGCGATCTCGCGCGCCTGCTCCGCGGACTTCGTCGCGAGCTCGAGCTTCTCCTGGCGCTCCGCGTCCAACTCGCCCTCCGTCTTCGCTAATTTCTCCTTGACGGCGTCCAAATCCGCCTTGACGCGCGCCGCGTAGATCTCTTCGATCTGCCCGTGGACGAAGGCGTGGTCGTCGTCGTTGACGATGGCGTGGTGCAGGTCCTCGTGGTCGTCCTCCTCCAGGTTCGCGCCGTCGTTCGCGTGGTAGTCCTCGTGGATCTTCGCGAGGTCTCGGCCGCAGAGCGACGACCGCCGCTGCTGCACGTGCGCGTGGCGCTGCTCCGCGGGCTTGAGGTAGGTGTTCAGGATCTTCTCGACCTCGTCCTCCTCGTCGATCTCGACGAAGGAGTCGTCGTCCTCGTCCTCGTACTCGTCGAAGGAGTTCGTGAGGCGGCCGCCGTAGTGCTCCGGCGTCTCCTCGCGGAACGCGCCGCGGTTCGAGAGCCGGTCCTCGCCGACGACGTCGTCCCAGGACGCGTTCGTCTGCAGCCGGGAGCTGCCGAAGACCTCCGACGGCCGCACGAAGGGCTCGTCGGGCTCGCTGCCCGCGTACGACTCCGGGTAGCTGTCGTCGAAGTCCTCCTCGTCGTCGTCGTCGTCGTCGTCGACGGACTCGATGGGCGGCAGGCCCTCGTCGGCGCGCTTCCGGTTCTTCCGCTCGCGGCGCTTCTCCCGCTCCTCGCGCTTCAGCTCCTGGACGCGCTCGCGGTCCTTGCGGCGCCGCTCCTTGAGCGCCTCGGCCTTGCGCTTCGCCTCCGCGGGGTCCAGGGGCGCACCGGGCCGCTCGTCGCCCGAGTCCGACGACGGCGCGCCCTCGTCGCCGGAGCCGCCGGAGCCGTCGCCGCGGCGCGGCGACCCGCGGCGCGCGTCCTTGCGCGCGGCGGCGCGCTCCTCCTTCTCCTTGGCGGCCTTGGCGTAGGGGTTCACCTTGGGCGTGCGGTCCTTCTTCTTGTAGCCGACCATCTCGCGCTTCTTCTTCTCGCGCGTCGTCGGCTCCGGGTCCTTGGGCGGCGGCGAGCCGCGGTCCGGGCTCCGGTCCTTGGGCGGCTGGCGCTCGCGCTGCTTCTTCTTGAACTCGGACGTCGGCGAGTAGCCGTACCCTAAATTCTGCTGCGTGCTCCGCGCGTTGACCGTGCCGCGGCCCATCTTCGCGGTCGCGCGGATGTTGCGCCAGTTCGCCGCGGACGCGCGCGCGTTGTTCTTGATCGCGCGCGACGCGCGCGGGTCGCCCCGGTTCGACTCGAGGCTCGAGAGCATCTCGGCCTTGGCGATGGCCTTGGCCTCGGCTTTCTCGGTCTTGATCTTCTCCTTGTAGCCCGCGAGCACGGCCTCGCGCACGGGCTCGGGCATGACCTGGGCAGCAAAAGAGAGATTCAACGTCGCTTCAATGTGAGCGTTCCGCGCGCGCGCGTTCCAAAAAAACATCCACGCTTCGAGACCGTTCCGAGAGATGATCGCTCGTCCAAAAACCAGCCGAAACGAGTGGAAAACGGCCGAGATCGGAGCCTTTGAAGTTGGGAATTTCGCTCTCTTTTGCTGCCCTGGGCATGACGGACACGAGCGCGTCCATGGCCTGCGAGTAGGCCAAAGCCTCCGGGTTCTTCTTCTTGCCGGGGGACCCGTTGTCCAGGCTCACGCTCGACGCGACGGAGCCCTGGTCGTCGATCTGCAGCTCGAGCGGCGCCTCCGCTTTCACTTCTTCTTTGGGCGCCTCTTTCTTGCCGGCCTTCCGCGCGTCCTCGAGCTTCTTCTGCATGCGCGCCGTCGCGTCCTGCGTCTTCTCCTGCGTCGCCATGAGGTCCGCCTGCTCGCCGTTGAGTCTCTCGACGGCCGCCTCGGCCGTTTTCTTCCGGTCGTCCAACCGCTTGAGCTCCGCGACCTTGAACTCCGCCTTCTTGGCCAAATCGGCGAGCTTCGTCTGGGCCGCCTCGACCTGGGCCTGGAGCGCGTCCCGCTCGCCCTCGAGCGCCGCGACCTCCTCCTTGGTGACGGACGGCGCGGCGTCCTCCGCGGGCTTCTTCTTCGCGTATTCCGCGCGCTCCTTCGCGCGCTTGTCCTTGACGAACTCGAGCTCGCTCGTCTTCATGCCGAGCTGCTGCTCGAGGTCCGCGATGGTCTCGCGCGCGCGGTCCAGGTCCCAGCTCAGGTCCGGCGCGTCCGCCGCGGGCGCCGGCGCGGCGACGACGGCGGGCGCGGCGTTCTTCGCCTTCTCCGCGTCCGCCTCGGCCTTTTTCGCGCGCTTCTCCGTCGCGGCGGCCGCGCTGCCGATCTTCGTCGTCAGCTCCTTGAGCACGTCGGGCTCGCAGCCGCGGCCGATCTCCTTGAGCAGCGCCTTCTGGAGCTCCTGGAGGGGCGGGTCGTCGCCGTGGAGGAGATCGGTCGTCATCTTCTCGGGCTTCGCGTGCGCGCCCTTCTTCGGCTTCTTGTCCTTGACTTTCAAAGTCTCGAGCTCGTGCTGCACGGTCGAGAGCACGCCCTTGTTGGACCGCAGCTCCGACTCGACGTCGCCGAGCTGCTTGCGGTGGTCGTCGAGCTCCTTCTTCAGCTTCTCGTTTTGTTCGCCTGTGTGGAAATCAACCACTGGTTTGGGACGTCCCGACCAAACTTTGAAATTCTCTAGCTCGGTCAAATCGAAGTCGATTCGGCTGATTTTTGGACGAATCGATTGCTCTCGTCGGGTTCTCGAAGCACAGCCGAAGAGTCTGGTCCAAACCGTTCAATTACGCTCACATTGAAGTCGGGTTGAAGATTTGATTTGCGCACAGCTGCTCGCGGACGCGCTTGAGCTCCGCGGGCGAGTCCTTGCTGTTCGAGAGGTCCTGGATCTCGTCGAGGGCGGCCTTGGCCTGGGCGTCGCGCCAGCCGAGGTGGGCGATGCGGTCCGCCTGCTGGAAGTTGGCCACGAGCGCGTTCAGCTGGTCGAGCTCGTGGCCGTACTCCTCCTTGATCGTCTGCGCGGAGTCCTTCGCGTCGCGCGCCATCTTCGCCATGGACTCGCCGTGGGCGTCGGCGCGGGCGATGCCGTCGTGGGCGATGGCGAGTTGGTGCGTGAGCTTCTCGACCTCGGCCTGGAGCCCCTTGAGCTCGCGCGCGTGCCTCGCCGCGCCCGTCTTCCGCAGATCGCCCGAGTTCTTGGATTTTTCCATGGCGTCGGTCGCGGCCTTGGCGCCGTCCTCCTTGGCCTTCGTGACGGCCTTCTCGAGCATGCCCAGGGTCTTCTTGCTGTGCGTGTGGGCCTCGGTGAGCAGGTCCCAGCCGCTCCGCATGGACTTTTGCAGCTGCGCGACCTCCGCTTCGGCCTCGACCGTCTCGACGAGCCGCGCGTCCGTCATCGTCCGCTGCCACTCGGAGACGTCGAGGAGCGCGTTCTTCAGGGACCGCTTCGTCGCCGCGGAGTCGCTGAGGATGCTCTCGACGTACTTGCGCTCCTCGGGGCCGACGAGCGGCGCGCCGCCGGCCAAAATCGCGTCGGACCGGTCGTAGTCGGCGACCAAAGCGTCGATGCGGCTCGTCGTCGACGCGAGGTCGTTCTTCAGCTCGTACTTGCGCTCGAGCGTCGTCGGCTCCGAGGCGACGTGGAGCGGCCGCTCCTCCTCCTTGTGGCGCTTGCCGCGGGCGCGCTTGCCCCCGGCGTCGTCGTCGAGGTCCGGGTGCTTGGGCAGCGGCATGAGGTGCCGCTTCGAGCTCTCGGCGACGTGGCGCCGCATGGCGCCCGCGGCGACTCCTCGCACCGAGGAGCCCGCTCCGGGCGCCGCCGCACCGGGGCCGCCTCCAGCGCCGAGCCCTGCAGCACCGCTGCAATGAGGAGATGCGTTGCCCGCAACTGCGGCTTTTTGCTCGAGCTGTTTTGGATACGTGCTGCGCTTCAAATCTAGGCGTTTCGTGGAGCAGCGCTAAAGAGCGCGACAATGGGCGTGGTCCGCGCCTAGGTCCGGTCCTCTTCTGCACGGGGGACCGGCGCGAGGGCCGCTCGTTCCCGGGCGCGGCGCGGGACCGCAGCGAACCGCACCGGTGCGCCTCGGACGCGCGACGCCGCCGCGCGCCGCGTCCGCCGCGCGCCGCGCCCGCCGCTCGGAAAGCGCGGTTTCACCGGCGAGCCTTGTACGCGGCGGCGCACCGCGGGAGCCATGCCCCTCTACGTGGACTGCTGCCGCCTCTGGCACATCAACGGCGCCAAGAAGAACCGGAGCACGGTCTGCTCGAAAGATCAGACGCTGCTCGGCCTCGCCGGCGACTACAGCCGCTTCGACCTGTCCCACAACGTGAGCCGCGAGCACGCGCGTTCCCGCGGCGCCGCCTGTTTTTTTTCACGCATCGCCGCGACGTGTCACAAACCCGAACGTCTCCCTCCGTAGGCGCTGATCCTCACGCCGGACAAGTTCGCGTCGATCTGGATCGAGGACCAGAAGAGCCGCAAGGGCACGTACATGGCCATCGGCGGGTCGAAGAAGACCTGCGAGACCTTCCCGCTCTACCCCGACGTCTGCATGCGCATGTCCAAGAGCAACTTCTACTTCTTCAAGCCGCCGGAGATCAAAAAGCACCACCACCACGGCGGCGGCGACGACGACGACAGCGACGACGACGAGGACGGCGACGACGACGAGGAGGAGAGCGACGAGGAGGAGGAGATGAGCGACCACGACGCCGAGCTCGACCAGGACGAGGAGCCCCACCACCGCATCCTCATCAAGTACCGCGGGCCGACCGTGAAGCAGCAGACGGAGATCGTCGTCGAGGGCAAGACGACCATCGGCACCGACGATGCCTGCGACATCGTGCTCGAGGACGACGAGATGGACGAGCACCACTGCACCATCGAGCTCGACGAGAAGTCCGGCGTCTTCTACGTCGTCGACCACGACTCGAAGAACGGGACCTACGTCAAGCTCACGGAGAAGTCGCCCTTCGAGCTCAACTACAGCGACGTCATCCGCCTCGGCGACAGCCGCCTCCACTTCAAGCACGCCACGCGCCTCACCATCCTTTCCACCATCGACAACCTCTTCATCCAGGCCGCCATGTTCATGTTCCAGATCAACGACGTCGAGATGGCGAACAAGAAGCTCGAGCCGCTGGGCACGACGACGATCTGGAACCGCTTCAAGGCCTACCGCAAGAAGGCGGGCAAGCGCAACGACCCGCCCATCGACGAGAAGGGCTGGAAGTGCGTCACGGCCAAGGAGAACAAGGACCTCTTCAAGATCAAGAAGTAGCGGTCCGGCTCCGTGTGTGTCCCGCGCCGCGCGGCCGACGCGCGCCTCCTCCCCCCCGTCCCCAGTGACGCGCGCCCGAGGCGCCCGGCCGACCGCGCCAACGCCGCGGGCGCCGGCTCCCCGGGACATCGCGACCGGAGGCGCGCGCGCGATCCGGAGCCGCGGCGCGGCGCGCCCTCCGAGGCGCGGACACGCCGCCGCTCGTACCGAAATCTCCCCCGCCCGGCCCGCCGCCGCGGGTAAGCAACGTTCTATCGACCCTTCTTTTTTTTCGGTGGGAGGGTGTGGGAGGAGGCCTGGGAGGGTTGTGGGCCGCTGCGACGACGCCGATTCAAGTTGTGGCTCGCTGCGGCGAGGCGCTTCTCGTCGCCTTTGCTTCTGTCTGTCCTCGATCTCGCTGTGGTTGCGTCGATGCCAGCGACAACTCCAGTGATGCTCGCCTGCATGCTGAAAGGCGTCTCGGCACTGGCGCGGCCGGCAAGCAAAACCGGCCTGCGCACAACCGCGCTGCGCGCGAGCTCGCCGCTGTCGACGTTCCCGCTGTCCGACTCGACGCCGACGGTGCCGTGCTCCTACGCCGGCAGCGCGTCGGACTACGAGGGCGACCTGCTCGTCATCCCCTTCTGGCAGACGGCCGACGACGCCGTCGTCGACGTCGGCGCGGCGACGACGGCGAACGCGTGGAACGACGAGCTCGAGGGGCTGCTCGTCGACCTCGCCGCGGAGCGCGACTTCAAGGGCGCCAAGGGCAGCGGCTGCCTCGTGTCCGTGTCCAAGAAGCGCCACGGCGTCGGCAAGGTCGCGCTTTATGGGCTCGGCAAGAAGGACGAGGCCGAGGGCGACGCGTACCGCGGGCTCGGCGCGTACGCCGCCGAGACCGCGCGCGAGCAAAAGGCCGCGTTCGTCGGCGTCGCGGCGCCGTCGCGCACGCGCGACGCCTGGCGCGACGTGGCCAAGGTCGAGGCCCTCGTGCTGGGCTGCCACGAGGCGAACTACGTCGACAACCGCTTCCGGACGGGCAAGAACGTCAAGGAGGGCACGGCGCTCGAGAAGCTGCTCCTCGTCGACGAGCCGCCGGACGCGGACGACGCCGCGCCCGACGACGCCTACGCCGACTCGTTGCTGTCGGAGACGCCCTACGAGGACGTGGAGAAGGCCGGCGGCCGCGCGGCGGCGATCGCGGCGGGGTGCAAGCTCGCGCGCGATCTGGTGAACGCGCCGCCGAACGTGCTCACGCCGCGCGCGCTCGCCATCGCCGCCGTGGACCTGGCCAAGTCCCACGCGCACCTGGACTGCACGTGCATGGGCCGCGTCGAGTGCGAGCGCCGGGGCATGGGCGCGTTCCTGGGCGTGTCGCAGGGGTCGAGCGACGAGCACGAGGCCCAGTTCATCCACCTGACCTACAGGAAGGGCGTGCCGAAGACGAAGCTCTGCATCGTCGGCAAGGGCCTGACCTACGATTCCGGCGGCTACAACCTGAAGCCGTCCGCGGGCGGGTCCATCGAGCTGATGAAGTTCGACATGGGCGGGAGCGCCGCGACGCTCGGCTGCGCGGCGGCCGTCGCCGGCCTGGGCGTCGACGACGTCGAGGTCCACTTCATCGTCGCCGCCTGCGAGAACATGATCTCGCAGGACGCGATGCGGCCGGGCGACGTGCTCACCGCGTCGAACGGCAAGACCATCGAGGTCATCAACACGGACGCGGAGGGCCGGCTGACGCTCGCCGACGCCCTGGTCTACGCCGAGGCGTTGAAGCCCGACGCCATCGTCGACCTCGCGACGCTCACGGGCGCGTGCGTCGTCGCGTTGGGCGACGACGTCGCGGGCTTGTTCTCGAAGGACGACGCGCTGGCATCGGAGCTCGAGGCCGCGGCGTCGAGCGCCATGGAGCAGGTCTGGCGCATGCCCATGCCGCCGGCCTACGAGAAGGACATCGAGTCGACCATCGCGGACCTCAAGAACGTCGGCTCCCGCGCGGGCGGCGCGATCACCGCGGCCCTGTTCCTCGGCCACTTCGTCGAGGACACGCCCCACGCCCACGTCGACATCGCCGGGCCTGTCTGGAACGGCAAGGCCGGCGAGGCGACGGGCTTCGGCGTCAAGACCATGGCCCAGTGGGTCGAGGCGCGCGCCGCCGTGCCCGCGGACGCCGTCTTCTGAGAAGGTTGCTCCTGTAAATGCGCCGTGGTGGAAAAGGGGCGGTCCTCGGCGCGGCGTTCGACGAAGACGAACGTGGAGGCGTGGGCTTGTTTGACAGGTCGGACGGCGTTCGTACGCGTCGGACAAGTCGTCGGACTCGGCGGCGCGGTAGGTCGTCGTTGCCGGCAATATCCTCGCAGATTGCGGCGTGATCCGCATCGCCTCGTCGTCGTCCGGCGTCGCAGCTTTTTCCGCCGTGATCGACCGGCGTCGAAGCTTTTCTGGCTCCACCATGGCCCCCATCATCGCCGAGGCTGTGATGTACGAGGAGGTGGACCAGACGGACGCCCCGCCGGCGGACGTTGCGGGCGTCGAGCTCGCGCCCGTCGGCGCCGTCTTCGAGGTGCGCGTCCTCGACGTGAAAGACCAGGGCGCGGTCCACGTCGTGCGCGTCCCCGAGGGGGGCTCCGTCGACGACCTCATGGGCGCCGTCGCCGCCGCCGTGGCCGGTGCGCCCGTATCGCGCCAGCGCCTCATCGCCGGCGGGCGCCAGCTCCGCGCCGGGGAAGCTTTAGCGGACCACGGCATCTCGCGGTCCGCGCGCGCGCCGACGGTGCACCTCATGGTGCGGCCCGAGGACGCCGGCGCGCTGCCCGAGGCGCGGCCCGTGGACGCGGAGGTCGCCAACCCCCTCCACGAGAATTTGGCGGCCGTCGTCGCCGCGGCGGCGCGCGAGCACCGCGACGGCGGCGCCGCGCGGTCCGTCGGCCAGCGGCCGTTGGAGACGGTGGCGCGGTCCGCGGCGCGCGTGCGGCTGCTCAGTTCGCTCTTAGCGCTCTACTGCGCGCTCAACGGCCTGGGCGCGCTGCTCGACGCGACGGCGGACCCGAATCTGGTCGACGACGACGCCGCGGGCCGTTCCGACGTCGCGCTGTCGACGACGGAGCTCGCGCTGAACGTCGCCGGCGTCTGGGTCGGCGCCGCGGGGCTGCGGGCGTCCCAGCGCCTCGACCCGACGTCCGTCGACGCCTACGACCGGTCGCTGCGGCTCTTAGCGATGGCGACGCTAAGCTACGAGGCCTACCACTCGCTCGTCGTGCTGCCGAACACGCTGCCCGAGCGCTTCCAGCGGGCCCGGGACGCCGCCGACGCCGAGGCGGCGGAGACCCTCGAGCCGCCCGACGCCAACGCGACGGCCGTCGAACGCCGCGACGACGACGACGACGACGACCCGGCCGCGGGCGACGGCGGCGCCGCCGAGGCGTCGCTGTCGCGCGAGAGCCTCATCCTGTCGGGCTTCGTCACCGTCATGCTCTGGGCGTCCATCTGGCTCGTCTGCGTCAACAACGCCGCGCGCCTCCGCCTCGCGGTCCGCGAGCACGGCGTCGCCGCGCTCACGGTCGCCGACCTCCACGCGGCCGCGAACCGGGACGCGTTCTTCCCCTAGGCGTATTCTTTTTACTCGTCGACGGCGACGTCGCCCGTCGAGCACGCGAGGACGAAGCCGAGGACGGCGACGGGCGCGGCGACGAACGGCTGGTGGAGCGTGACGACCGCGGCGGCGGCGAGCGAGCAGTAGAGGACGCCGCCCAGGCCCGCGGGCCGCGGCGCGGCCTCGACGTGGTCGTGGTCGTGGTCGTGGTCCTCGCCGAAGGTCCGCTCGATGTGGCGCCACGCCTCGTCGCGCGACTCCTCGAGCGGCGCGCCGGGTCGCAGCGCCGGCCCGCCCGTGTCCTCCATGAGCGCCACGAGCTCGTCGAAGCCCATGGCCTCGATGTCCTCGCCGTCGTCGGCGTCGTCGGCGTCGTCGGCGCGCTCCGTTGGGATGGGCGTCGACGAAGAGGGGTGAATCGGGAGCGTTTCTGCGAGTGGCTTGTTGTATCGCGGCGGTATCAAATGTGCAGGCGTAAAGCGCTGGGAAAGTGTATAAGGAGCCGCCGAGTACATGCTGGAGCACAGCGCTAGAACGCGCAGCCGCTTTTGAGGCATCATCGCGCCTTCCTCAGAACTCCGACTTGAAGGACAACTTGAACTTTTGCTTGAAGCTTCATGAAGTCCAGGGCTTCCACGTGAGCGCGAACGGCTGAGCGACCGTGCATCGATCGTGGCACACGTGCGCGCAGCTTGCTTAGTCCTCCTGCCGCTCGACCTTGTAGGGCACCGTCCGGGACGCCTCGACGTGGCGGTCGACGGCGTGGACGGACGCGGCGAGGATGTACTTGCCGACCCTGTCGGGGCACTTCACCTGGAACTGGAAGTCGCAGGGATTTTTCGGCACGGTCACGGGCTTGTAGGCGACGACGGCGTTCTGGTTCGAGTTGCCGAGCAGCACGACGTAGTCGCCCGGCGGGACCTTCAGCTCGATCGACGCGACGGCGACGTCGCCCGCGCGGACGTCCGGCAGGGGCTCGTCGTCGTCGAAGACAGCGAGCGACAGGCTCGAGATCGCGGCCGGCTCCGCCGCGTCCGGCGGCGCGCCGGCGACGACGTGCTGGAGCGCCGCCGCCGCGAGCTTTTGCCGCGTCGAGGCCGACCCCGAGCGACAGCTCGAGCGCGGCCCGCGCGAGGTTCCCCGCGAGCGCGAGCTCCACTCCGGCCTCGTCCTCGCCGCCGCCGTCCGGCCGCCGCCCCGCGGCCGCGGTGCTCGCGCGCCGCACGAGCGCGGCGCCCGTCGCCGTCCGCGGCGCGACGGCCTTCGCGCCGCCCGTGTCCAGCGCCTTGACCGCGCGCAGCGTGCCCGCCGGGTCCGCGTCGTCCGGCGCGTCGAGGCCCTCGTGGTCGTCCAGCAGCGCGCCCAGCAGCGACAGCCACTGCGCCGTCGTCCGCGGCCGCCGCGCCTTGTCCGCGAGCGCGTCGCGGAGCGCGAGCACCGTGGCCTTCTTCGGCATGCGCGTCGCCGGCTTCGACGTCGCTTTGACCATCATGACCACGGGCACGATGGCCAGGGCGAGCAGGAGGACGTAGAGCGTCAGCACGACGCCCTCGTTGCCCCGCGGCAGCGCGATTCCGGCGAACTGCGGCCGGGGGCCGTCTGGGTGGCCGTGGTCGCGGTAGTTGCGCTTCGCCGTCGCGTCGCCGGCTAGGGCGGCGTAGGCGCTCGCGAGCTCTCTGAACTTGTTCGGGTCGCCGCCCTTGTCCGGGTGGTGCGCCTTCGACAAAGCGCGGTAGGCCTTGCGGACGACGCTCGAGTTCGAATTCGACGCAACGTCGAGGATCTCGTAGGGGTCGAAGTAGGACGTCGCGTTCGCCCACGCGACGGCGTCCGGGTGGAGCGCCGACCACTGGGCGCCCGCGGCGACGGCGACGGCGCACATGGCGACCCAGCCCTTGCTGAAGCGCTTCTGCATCGCGCGGGTGACGATGACGGGCACGAGCGATGCGAGGAACGCGCTCACGAGCACGAGGCCGTAGAAGCTCGCGGCGCCACCCTCGGCGAGGTCGTCGGGTCGCATCGCGCTGGCGTTGCACCACGAGAGTGCCTCGCTGGTGCTGCTCGAGACGCTGCTCTGTGCGAGGCGGTGGGTCGAGGAGCCGGCGAGGCGTTGCAACACGAGCGCCTCACCGGTGCTCGAGACGGAGGCGCCGGCGACGACGATGTTGATAGCCGAGCATGTTGAGCTAGCGGTTGACCTGCACCTTGCCGCGGCCGCGCTAGAGCTCGAGGTGGGCTGCCCCACGACGACCGCCCCGGGCGGGGGCGCCGTCCTTCGCGGCGCCGGAAACGAGGCGAGGACCGAAACGCGAGCGGTAAACGCACCAACAAACAAACCTAAAAAACCGAAACGATGGACGACGCGTCGGCCGGCGGCCTCGTGTCCATGGACAGCGGCGACGCCGACGTGGACCGCGACTTCGCCCGCGAGGAGGAGGTCACGGAGTACGTCGCCCCCGTCGCCCGCTACAGCGAGGAGTTCGCGGCGATGCAGCTCGAGCTGGAGCGCGCGGCCGCGCGGGCGAAGACGACGGTCACCCAAATCGTCGAGCAGCTGCACGCGTCCGCGCCGCCGGAGGCCGAGTGGATCGAGTACTTCACGGAGGGCGGGCGGCCGTATTATTACAACGAGGCCTCGGGCGAGAGCCGGTGGCAGTGCCCCGTGCCCGAGCAGATGGGCCTCGAGCTCGACCTGGCGACGCAGCTCGGCGGCGGCGGCGGCGATTTGGTGGACCTGGAGGCGCTCGCGGCGGGCGTCGAGGGCTCGCTGCGGCGGGGCCGGGACGACGACGACGAGTCGGAGATGGACGACGACGAGGGGTCCCAGGCGTCCTTCGCTAGGCGCGCGGCGACGGCGCGGAGCGTCGGTTCCGTCGGGAGCTACGGGTCGGGCGTGCCTCTGACGCCGTCCGTCCTCGCGAAGCGGGACGAGCTCGCGTCGCGCGACAACGAGACGCGGCAGGCGCGGGAGCAGATCCTATTGGACGAAGAGCAGGAACAGGCCCTCGCCCGGGGCGAGGCGTCCGAGGCGCGCATCGCGCTGACCGCGCGGAACTTCTGGACCTCAGTCCGCGACGCGGCCATCGAGGTCCGCATCGGCAACTGGATCCTGGAGCGGCGCGAGATGCACGAGCGCGAGATGCGCGAGATGCACCGCAACATGAAGGCGGACTACCGCTTCAACAAGACGGAGCGCAAGGACGAGACCTTCGCGACCATGCTCGCGCTCGCGGCCGAGGAGGACGCGACCGTCGACGACGAGCTCGCGCTCGCGGACGACGGCACCGTCGACGAGGAGGCGGAGCGGGAGAAGCGCCTCCAGCGCATCCACGAGGACATGGCGCGCAAGATGGAGGAGAAGGCGCGGGCCGAGTCGCGCGAGGGCCTCCAGGCGCTCGCGAAGCGCGACCTCGACATGAACTTCGACGGCGACGCGGACGAGCTCGCGCGCGTGAAGCTCGCGGAGACGCTCCAGAACGTCGCGAAGCCGTCGGACAGCGGCATGCCCCTCCGGGAGATCGTGCTCGTGCAGTGCAACGTCGGCGACGACGAGGTGTCGCTCATCGCGGACGCGCTCACGCTCGGCGCC